GAAGGATATATATATATATATATATATATATATATATATATATATATATATATATATATATTTATATATATAGATAGATAGATAGATTAATAGTAGATATGATAGATAGATAGATTCCGATAGTACTCGCAAAAGAAGTAACAGATGCTTATACATACATTGTATTTACCACAACTTTGCGTGGGCTCCGTTGGGCACGTCACTTATTTCATCAACGCCAACTTTTGAATAACAATTTCCATGCCAAGTATTATTGTGCATTTTGGAAAATTGGTCTGGATTCTGGATTCTACCGAAGCAGGTAAATACATTAGTGCAGTGTAATCATGCCTCGAGCTAGTCGGTGTGTCTGTTTATGTTGATGTAATTGTCCTTGATTTATGGGCGAGGTCTTGTTAGGAGTTCTCTTACGGAATGGTAAAGAAACAAAAGAAAGTATTTTTCTTCTGTTGCCGTCGTATTACCTATAATTAGATGAGGGTGACCGGCGTTGGGACCGGGTGCAGAAAAAATCTCGTTCATAACTGGAGGATATTACTGGCAAAAATACACACACACACACACACACACACACACACACACACACACACACAGGGGAACACATATAGACGAATATGCACATGCACATACACATTTAAAGAAGGACATCGAGATAGTTATGAACAGACTGCGATAGGCAGATAAATATGAGCAAACTGAGATAGATATAAACAGGCTAGGATAGATATATATATGACTGATATATATATATATATATATATATATATATATATATATATATAGAGAGAGAGAGAGAGAGAGAGATTGAGGAGAGACATATATATTGTTAGATATGAACATAGATAGATAGATAGATAGATAGATAAATGACATGAATAGATAGAAAGATTGATAGCTTGAACAGAGCGATATATATATATATATATATATATATATATATATATATATATATATATATATAGATAGATAGATAGATATGAATAGACTGAAATAAATAGCTACATTGATATGAACAGATTGAGTTTGACAGATATGAATATAGATAGATAGATAGATAGATGTCATAGAGAAAAGACTGAAACAGATAGATAGATAGATAGATAGATAGATAGATAGATAGATAGATAGGCATATAGATAGACACACAGGCAGATAGATAGATAGATAGATAGATAGGAACAGACTGAAATAGATAGATAGATAAATAGATAGATAGGTAGATAGATGGATAGATAGAAACACAGGCAGATAGATAGATAGATAGATAGATAGATAGATAGATAGATAGATACACAGGCATACAGATAGATAGATAGATAGATAGATAGATAGATCTTAGAGACGAAATGTTAAAAGTTAGACAACACCGGGCCTGGTCAGTAACTGAATGGGTGACCACTTGGGAATGCCAGCTATTTGTAAGCTTGGATGTGCTGGTGGTGTAACGTATAATGGCTTGGAATTGTTAATCGGTGCGCCAAGTTCTAGTTTTTGCTGTCTTCCTTATATTCCCTTACACGGAAATAACATTTGAAAAGATAAGAATCAACCTGTTCTTCATCCCCCCCAGCTGTGGGTTAATTAGTAATACTTGTATCACTAAAACCATTATTAAAAATAATTAATATAAACTTGTATCACTAAAGCCTTTTTATCCCCAAAAAAAAAAAATCTTACAATCTAAAAATATTTTTCTGGCTTTAAATAACCTGCATGCAATCAATAATTATTGACAGAAGATGAAAAGTTTAATTCAGATCAGTTTATTAGAATTTTGTAGAGTGATGAATTTTGAATGGGGATGTTCCAGAGAAATGTGTTTGAAGGTAGTGTAAGTAAAATCATAATGAATATATTTCTATCACAGTTAAGCATGTTTTATGATGGTATGAGAGGTCTTTTCAGTGGTTACTGGTGAACTGCTTCACTGGGAAATGTCAATGATTTATTAATCATTTCACTCAATGCAAGGTAGTAAAGCCACTAAGACACAAGTGGTTACTGAGTGTGAAATAATAATAAAAAAAGAGAAATATTATTAATAAGCGAATTAAAAGAGAAACATTATTAATGAGAGAACAATACAAGAGTAATGAAGAAGACAGTAGCTAACGATTGACAGTGCATTTAAATTTTTGAAGATCAAAATTGACTGGGAGCCTGAAGAGAATTCCACAAGCGAGAAGTGCGAGAAAAGAAACTGCTAGCATAGAACTTACGGTTCAATTGGTGACACCTTGTTGTCACGTTAGTACTGCGCTTAAATTGATAAAGTCTAGGTACCATTAGTGATAAACTGATCCGAACAGTTGCCATGAAAGTATTTATAGAAAAGACATACGGAAGCTACGTTACCGCGTTGGGAAAGAGACCAAGATGTCTGTTCAGAACCAATAACATTGCAGATTATTCTGTGGATTTTATTACGAATCTCTAAATATATAACAGGGGCACCGGATTGAAATGTATTATACTTTTGCAGAAAGAACGATTTCCACATTTAATACGTTTTTTCTAAAGGGGAATGATAAAATGTTTATTTCTCAACAAGACAATGACCCTGACCAAACTTCAAAACAATAAAAAAGCAGTTGAGAATAATTCTATTACGTCCGTCTCTTGGCCTAATCGGATTCCACATTTGAAACATGTGTTTTTCATGTAAAACAAACTTAACAGAAAGTATTTTCATTTACTCATCAACTGTTTACCGCCATAAACAACAATGACTATATCCGCAAGTCTTTCTTCTAATACTATTGTTCAGTCAATACACGGCATAAGAGCCACTCAAGGTAGCGGGTTACTGAATAAGGTTGTTTTAAGGGAATAAATTGAGAAAGTACAGAGTATGTATTAGAGAAGAGGGAGGATAACTCTTAACCCTAGACTGGAGAAAGATCGTCGAAATGTGTGTTTATAAGCCGTGATATGGACTTTGCTAACCGGAAAGTTATCTGTGGTTGAATGGTTAACAGCACGTCAGGCTATATGCTGGTTTCCGTATAGGATACAGGTTCGATTCCTGTCAGAGAACGCATATTTTCTACGAAATATCTCGAACATTCTGGCCGTTGAGTGTAATTAATACTGTTTAATTAAAACAGAGTATTTACTCAAATTAAATGTATCCATAAAAATAACGTATAAAGAGAAATTATATTAAAATATTTGTCGGCTCTATCCAAGCATTATTGGTAGATTAAAGATAGTGGTTTCACCCAACTAATCAAATGGGAAATCATCTGTCGATTTCAAAACCCGAACAACTTCCGGGACACATGCGATCTGTGTATACAAGGAAAAATTGTAATAATTAAATACCCAAATGCTAACCAGTTGTTAAATCAACGGAACGAACTGATTTTCAAGTGTAGACATAAGAACAAAATTAAATCCCCTTAAAACGTTCTTTCTTGGGTGGGGATGATGCACACTTGAAGTATTGATTTGTTTATGTGGCTAATAGCACATATAGGTGTACATGCATTCAGGTGTATGTATGTATCTATGTGTGTATGTATATGCGTATGTGCAGATGTGTGTTGATATTGCCCTTCACGGTTTTGTGTTGTTTTTGCGTGTTTCTTCATATGTAGTTAGATCTATGACTTTGCCGATGTATGCAACATTTATGATTCGAAATTAACATCATTTGTATCATTTTCCATACATCGTCTTACTCAGTTTTTATTTTTTATTTTTTCTAATTTTACTTTTATTATTTATCTGTATTTAAAATTCCTCCGTTTATGTTTATGCCAATCTAATATATCAGTCCGGGTTATTGTCATCATTTACTAAGAGATTTCAATCTCAAGAGATGAATATATAGATATTCACGAAATAAATTATAACCGAAATGAATCCTTAAGATTTTCTTCTTGATCATTATTATTATAATCTTCTTTAGTTTGCATTGAGCTCTCCCTGGTTTAATATCCTATTTGCAATTATCGCTACCAGTCATATATATATATATATATATATATATATATATATATATATATATATATATAAATTGAACATTGAAGTCAACACTTAGAGGCGACAGGCTGTTTCATGCGAGACGCAATTACTTGTCGCCTCTAAGTGTTGACTTCAATGTTCACTTTTGTATTTACACACGCTTTATTTCTGATATTGATCACTTTATCCCATAAGTATAGCACACCTTAAGACTATATATATATATATATATATATATATATATATATATATATATATATATATATTTGACAGTTTCTTGACACCAAAACAAGAACAAAAGTCAATATAAACATATGTCCGCAAATCCTTCGTTTTTGAGTTATTAAATTTCAAGAAAGTTTACGGAAGATGGTGCTACGTTGCTATGTGGACTAGATTACATTTGTCATTCATGTACATGTAATATATAGACAGATATAAATGATAATATTAGTAGTTTCTTTATAAGGAAAAATTCAGCATTTATTGACCGAGCAGCCAGTGCTACCTTTGGTTGAATTTTATAAGATCTTCCTATTATTAGTACATTTCGCACGTCCATTTTCTGTTATCGCCCTTTGTTGTAATGTTGGTGATTTCTATCCTAATCTTTTGTTTGAAGTAGTGTGCAATGTCAATATACTGATTATGTCTTTCTTTTCCTTTCGAGTTTCATGTGCTATTCATTTTAGATGTTCCAGCTGTTGAAAGTCTTCAGGTCATGCGTGTTTTATGTGACACAATTCTTTGTGATTTTGTGGTGAAAGTCTGGGAGAATTGAAGAAGGATGATCCTCACTAACACCTACAGTTTCATTCAAACGAAGCTATTTTTAATCATCATAATAAATAATAATTAGGTGGATTTTTATCCAAAATTTTCATTGTATAATCTGCGATTCATGTGAATTTGATTCACTCGTAAATTAAGTGCATTGACAAGGAAGATTTTGTTGAATAATCAGTATTATAGGTGTTTCAAGATGGCTAGAAATTAATGGCTTTAAAAATTAGACACAAGACACACACGCTATATGTTGTTTGACCTCGCAAAATTGTCCTGTCTTATGTGAGTTTTCTAATAAAAAACACATAGTCTGATCTAAATCTATTATCTATCTATCTATCTATCTATCTATCTATCTATATATATATATATATATATATATATATATTTAGGACATTCTGCATTGCATAAATTTATTTTTATATATATATATATATATATATATATAAATCGATTTGAAGATGAATAAACTGATAGCAACCATTTTCCTTTGATCTCTGCAACACTTTGTTTCCACAAACACACACACACACATACACACACACATACACACACACACAACATATATATATATATATATATATATATATATATTTATATATATAAATAAACGTGTTGCTAGAAAATGATCTATCTTTGATATTAAGTGTTCAATTACAAAAATTGCTTATCTTTAAAAGTAAGATCTTTAAGAAATAAACAAATCTAGTTTATATATTATATATATATATATATATATATATATATATATTTTATTTATTTTAAGAGAGACGGACATATTTAAGAAAAAAGAAAAAAGAAAGACATTGTGCATTTTTTTATTTAATAAATCATTCTTTTTTTTATTTTAAAGTCTGTAAAGAAATATTAAACATGAAAAATTTTGCCCCTCGTTTTTAAAGAAATTTTCGACGTCATAAGTTTTTCTTTTGATTTCTATCATACAACGAAGCATAACGACGATTTAGATAACCGACAATGGTGCAAACAAAACCCTTCTACCAAATCTATCTATTTAAACAAGTATAATTATCTTGCATTCTCTTTTATTAACTGTTTTCTTCATTTATTACCTTTAAGATTCAATCAATAACAATAGATAAATAAAGAACACAATAAATAAAAATAAAAAAACACAAATGAAAATTACAACAACAACGACAACAGTTATTTCTCTATTAATTATGGAATAAAAATCTGTGCAATTAATAAAAATCGTTAAGTATTAATTGTAATACCTTAATATTTGGCATGATCACATCATATTTAAAAGATTTATTAAAATTTCAGTTATAAAATCCATAATACCTTAATACAGGTTCCGTCATTTGAAAAAAATAAAATCATATATATATATATATATATATATTTGTGTATGTTTGTTTGTGTGTGTGTGTCCAAGTTTTGGTTCAATATATCTGTTAAAATGGCATTCATCAATGTTATTTTATTTTTTTTTGCATTGTTTAGATAAAAATTTATCACGTAGTCATATATATATATATATATATATATATATATATATATATATATATTTTTATATATATATAAATAAAGATGAAAAAAAAAACATCGATAGATTCTGACAATATAAATATAGAAAATATAGACGAAATGTTTGTGTGTGTGTGAGTGTGTGTGTGTGTGTGTATGTGTGTGTGTGTGTGTGTGTGTGCAGTATTTTAAAATTTGTCTGATGATCGCAAAAATATATCTGAAATTCAGGGTCATAAACTCATATATAACATAAGATATATATATATATATATATATATATATATATATATATATATATATATTATATGTGTGTGTGTGTTTATATGTCTTATGCATTTTTTAAATATTATGATTAAACAAATTAATGAGATGATTTTTATTCCCATTAGGTACAATTTTTGATTCCTTCTCTTAATACAAAACATAATTTATTAAACGTCAATGACGCCAAGAGGAAAAGAATAGAAGAAAAGATAGTATAATAATAATAAGACTAAGAACAATAATAAGAAGAATTAGAAGAAGAAGAAGATATATGTTCAAGAAGATATATAAGAAGAAGAAAAAAAAGAAGATTCATAATAATTTTTAATAATTTTTTTAAGAAGAAGAAGAAATAGAAGAAGAAGAAGAAAAGAAGAAGAATTTGAAATATATAATAAAAACTATTATTTATAATTTAATTATATCAGGAAAATTAAAAACTTTTTAGAAGTATGATTTTTTTGTTTGTCGAATAATATTTATTTGTTCATTTTAATTATTTCAATTTAGTTAAAGGAATAATGCCACTAATAAAGAATATTGTTGAAAGGAAATTAGAAGAAAATTAATTTAATGATATTTAAGACAATAAAAAAAAGAATTCAGGAAGATAATAAGATGGCGATTTTCATTTTATTCATTTTTTTTGAGAGAGAAACGTTTTTTTTTCATATTCTGATGCTGGTGCATTATTATTATTATTATTATTTCTTTATTTTTTTTTTTTATATATTAATACATCATTTGTTTTGTTTAATTGAAATTGTTAGCCAAAAATCCTCAACCAACAAATATTGACTTCTTTTACAACAAGTTTTATTTGAATTAAGGTTTTTTTTCTTATATACCAATTTCTTTTCATATTACATTATTATTTTCAGAGTATTTTAAAGAGATTTCTTATTTTATTTTTGTAAAATTGTATGTATGGAAAAAAATCTATCACATTCTTGAGGACCAATTTCATTTCTTATTAATTTTTTG